TGGACCTATAATATCAGAGAAACATTTTAGGGGTTCAGGGGTCTAGGTCGAGGTGTTTCCTCCAAAGCAAAGGATGAGTTGTTTGCACCTTACACTGCCTCCTACATGAAAGAGAGGCACATTGCTTAGAGTTCCTCTTGGAGAAGCAATATTTATCAGCTCAGAGTGTTCATTTTTGAGCCACTTATGGGGTGACTGAAAAGGGCGCTACTTTTGAAAAGGGGCCCAAGGATAGAATAGTATCTACCTGGTTCCAGGAGCAACAAAAGCTGTTCTGCCATCTCCAACCCAGGGCATCCAATGGTGCTCAGATGTGTCTGTTAGTGGCAGGAGGGCAGTTGGTGTAGGATCTAGGATGCTGCCTGGAATGCCTGCATCCCATACCAGAGTGCCTGGCTTTGAGTTCCATCTCCAGCTCCTGACTTCAGCTTCTTACTAATGCATACCCTGAGAGACAGCAGTGATGACCCAAGTAGTTGGGTTCCTGACATCCAGCTGGGACACCCAGGTTGAGATCTGGGCTCTTGACTTCAGCCTAATATACCACAGCTACTGTGGACATTTGGGGAGTGAACCACCACATGAGGTCAATCTTTCTCTTTCAAAAAAAATTTTTTTAATGTGTCAGTAGTTAATAGGAGAGGAATATGATCCTGGGACAAGTCATGCCAGGACAATCACAGTGTCAGCTATAAGGGTTTTAAAGCAAATGCATGCTTTCTTTGTCAAATACTTATTTTCCTTTACAGAAAAAAGGTTGCCTTGTAACTGGGCTACAGATGAGATTGAAAGCCTGATCAAGGAAGTCAAATTACTGTGTAGACTGAGCTGCTTACCTGGAGCTGGGTGTTATTTTGATGCTCAGCAAAAGATTCAGCTACACTGGAGACACTCAACTCATGTGGACAAACTGACATGCTGTGTGGAGATGTCACCTTCTGTCCCCAGCTAACCCACTGCTCACTCAGTGTGCTTATGGACACAGTGACCATGTGGGCAGTGACTGAACAGATCCACGTTCTTTTTCTTATTTTTTTTAAGATTTTTTTATTTGAGAGGTAGAGTTACTGACAGTGAGAGGGAGAGACAGAGAGAAAGGTCTTCCATGCGCTGCTTCATTCCTTACATGGCCGCAATAGCCAGAGCTGATCTGATTCGAAGCCAGGAACCAGGAGCTTCTTCCAGGTCTCCCACATGGGTGCAGGGCCTCAGGACTTGGGCCATCTTCCACTGCTTCTCCAGGCCATAGCAGAGAGCTAAATCTGAAGAGGAGCAGCTGGGACTTGAACTGGTGCCCATATGGGATGCCAGAGCCGCAGGTGGAGGATTAACCTACTGTGCCACAGTGTTGGCCCCCAGATCCATGTTCTTAACAATTCTGCTCCCAAGGCCAGCCTGGGTTCTTACCAGACAACTTCCATAGGAATCAAACTTGAGCAGTTTTAGACAGCCACATGAAAAGAGATTATACAGACTTATTTAATCTTGGGAGGATAGAGGCAGCTTATCCTCCCTAGAACAGACAATGCTTCTGAACTTGGATTGACTCCCTTTGCCCACTGTGCTTACACCATCATCCTGAGACTTTCTGAGTGACTGCCTTCTTCATCATCCTGGTATCCCCCAGAGTACCACTTCTAACCAAGGACCTCACTTGCTACTAAAAGAAATGTGATGGGGTAATTTCTGTTCTTCAGTAGTGGTTAGCTTTTCAGAATGACCAATTTAGACTTACAGTGTCCACTGGAAGAAGATGCTCCTGGAAAGATACAGAATCTCTTCTGAACCCAAAGTTGATAGGGTTTCCTGCAGTTCAGGAAAGAAGAGAATGACATTTCTCATTAATATATCCTTGACTCACTTGCAAATTTTCTTTCTGTTGCTTTACCTAGGACTCTGCTACCTTGAAGGTCTTAGTAACCCAAGAGGAATTCTTCAACCAGGAGATTCAAACTTGGTTTTTTTATAATGGAAATTGAGACTCCTCCTATCAGTGGGTGAATTGCAAAAAGGATTATAGTATTGGCTGTGTTGACAGTGACAGTCAAGGGAAAGTAGGGATGGTATTTTATGACAAGAAAATGAAGGCGAGTAGATGGAAACCAATCATGGTAGTGCCGATTGCTACCAGCAAGTCCAAGGGCAAACTTTAACAACCTCAGATCCCTCAGAAATGAAAGCTCTCCCTGACTAGCTGAGGTGCCTGCTGAAGGGAAAGGAGGATTTTGTATGTCCAGAAAGGAGAGGAGTTTAAAAATATCAATTATAGCCATATGGTCACTTGCACAAACCAGAATTCTAACTTATTCCACTTATGAGGGTACTTCAGAAAGTTCCAGGGAAAGCTGAACCAAGAAAAAAAAGTTTATTTTGGTGCAGAACAAATTGAAATCTATGCATGTTCTTCCATAACACACATTTCCATGAGCTTTATAAAGATCATATATTTTCTTCCTTTTTTCTATTCACCTTTTTTGCCTTTTTCTATTCGCCCCTTTTCCTCTACTATTTTCTATAGTACCGAGTAGTGATAAATATCTTCACAATTTAGTCCATGAAATACAGAATGACATGGGGTTGTAACAGAATTAAAGGAGGAATGACTGTCACCCAGGGCACCTGGGTTTCAAGCTGGACAGAGAGAAGGAGGAACGAGAAAATGTGTTTTTCAGCTGTTCAGGGATTTTTGTATTCAGCAGGTGCATCTTTGTTATCTATCATCTTTGTTTTCGAGATCATAAGGAAGGTAAGAAGGACACTTGACACTGATAGTCAAAGGAGTCGATTAGTGTAGACACAGGGCATTCTTCTGGCTGCTGTGAATCTGGTAGATTGCTATTTCCTCTCCCAAGCCATTCTCCATTTCATCTACAATAGCAGATCTTTAGCTCTGCACAATGCCACACAGAATAGAAACTACATTTCCCAAGCTCTCTAGAAGCTAGCTTACTAAGGTAATTAAATTATACTAACCAGGGGCCAGCATGGTGGCATAGCAGGTTAAGCTGCCACTGCTTGCAATGCCAGCATCCCAGTTCAAGTTCCAGCTGCTCCACTTCTATCCAGCTCCCTGCTAATGTGTCTGGGAAAGCAGTGGAAGATGATCAAAGTCCCTGGGCCCCTGCACCCACATGGGAAACCCAGATGAAGCTCCTGGCTTCCACCTGGCCTAGCCGTTGTGGCCATCTGGGGCGCGAAACAGCAGATGAAAGATTTATCTCTCCTCTAATTATGTCTTTCAAAGGAAAACATAAATGTTTTAAAAAAAAAATTCTACCAAGGAGCTGAAAGTGGACACATCAGTATTTCTGGTAGTGCTACATGGACAGGAGAGGATAAGCCTCATTTAGCCCTCTCCTGTTCTTACTGCCAGCTTGGGAAGTGGGTGAAATTGTTAGGGAGTCAGTAGGCATCTTGGATCATCAGGTAGTCTTGTGAGTAGACCCATGTATTGTGCAGGAGAAATATCAGAGCTTGGACCTCTGATGACAAACTATATTTCTTCAATAATATACAAATAAAATAATAAAATGTTATTTTACCAGGAGATACACAGGTAAACAAGGCACAGTTTCTATCATAAGGAAACTGATTGACAAGTGCAGCTAACAACCAGCAAGGGTGCTATGGAAACCGCACGTGGAACACCTAATCTAATTCTGAGCTCCTGGTGGGTCTGCAAAAAACGCTACAGGAAGTAACACCCAGGAATGAGATTAAGCCCAGTGATGGAGGAAGGTGTGAAGAGTTGCTTTGGCCTGTGGAAGTTAACAGGTGTTACCACTGCTTAACACTTGTTAAAAGCTAAGTCGGGAAGCTAGGGTAGAAGTTGGACTTTATCCTCCGGAACAGTGAGGCAAACTAGGGAACTTTACGCTTGGGAATAACGAGGTCGAATGCATTCTTTAGAGATCATTCCAGCTGCTCTGTGCAGAACGCACTGAGGGAACAAGATGGGGGTTGGGGGGACGGGGAGCAATGCCATGTTTTCTGTTTAATAACCATAGGGAGAGGGAGAAAAGGTAGAACCGGGCCGGGGGTGTGTGTGGGGGAAGTGCAGAGCCCAAGGTGCACTGGTAGCGCAGGAACACGAAATAATTGAGACAGGGCCATAGTGGATCCAGGCTACCTCCGGTTCCCTTCAGAAAAAGGCACACACCATCAGCCACGCAGTGCAGTGTTAATATGAGAGCCCGGGAAACTTCATTTCCTAGTTTCTGTTTTCCCGCAATGCTTGCCCAGTGGTGTTTCCAGACGGCAGCCTGGCGTCCGCACTCTGCCCAGAAGGTTCGCTAGCTCCCAGCACATCCAGGACACTGGAAGGGGTGGGTCGCGGGTGCAAACGACCCCAGCTCCACCGCTCAGTCACAGCAAACCGGGAGCGTTCCCGGACGGGCAGAGCAGCCTAGCTGATGGGGTGGACTGGACGCGGGAAGCCATGCGCCGGGCAGTCACTCTGGGCTCCGCGGCAGGCGGGTCGCCTCCCGCGCTGGCTGCGCGCTCAGAGGTGAGAGGAGCGCCGTGCCCACCTAGCGCTGCGCGGTTCCTCAGGAGAAAACAGCGCGATTGATGCCCGGACGCAGGCAGAGCCGCGGGACCGTCGGCTTCCGCACCTTGAGCATACACACTTGACCTCAGAAATACAAACCTTGTCTCTGGCATTCCTGTATTTAGAAGTAAACATTACCTCAGACGCCGGCCAGTTCACAGCCACACAAAGCTTTATTTTTAAAGGGAGGAAAAAACTAAGTTTTTTGTTGTTGTTTTGGTTTGAAGAATTAACCTCTCCTCTAACGCAATCAGCTGCGGAAGGGGAGACGCTAGGAGCACTGGTGTCCAGCCGTGGGCGGTGCAGGGGGCGCGGCACGCAGTCGGGCTGCTTTGGTGCCGGGGCGCAGCGCGGCGGCGCGCGGTCCTGGGGGCGCGCTCGGCGGCGCCGTAGTGCCTGGGCTGGGGCGGGCCGGGGGCGCGCGGGGCCGGCGAGCGCGCGGGGGCGGCGGGCTCCGCGCTGCCAATCGCAGACAAAGGCCGCCCCAGTGAATCATGTGGTGCCGGGGGAGGAAGTGCGGCTTGTTTTCGTTCCTCCAGTCATCGGGCTGCGGGCGGAGCGCGATGCGCAAAGGTTCCCGCGCGGGCGGCGGCGGGGCCCGGGAGCCCCGATGAGGCCGGAGCGCCCGCGGGCACGCCGCAGCGCCCCCCAGCCCGATGGAGGCCCAGCCGTGGGAGCCGATCCGCAACGACTCGCTGCTGCCCACGCTGACGCCCGCCGTGCCCCCCTACGTGAAGCTCGGCCTCACCGTGGTCTACACCGTGTTCTACGCGCTGCTGTTCGTGTTCATCTACGCGCAGCTGTGGCTGGTGCTGCGCTACCGCCACAAGCGGCTCAGCTACCAGAGCGTCTTCCTCTTCCTCTGCCTCTTCTGGGCCTCCCTGCGGACCGTGCTCTTTTCTTTCTACTTCAAAGACTTCGTGGCGGCCAACTCGCTCAGCCCCTTCGTCTTCTGGCTGCTCTATTGCTTCCCCGTGTGCCTGCAGTTCTTCACCCTCACGCTGATGAACTTGTACTTCACGCAGGTGAGGCGCGGCGGCGGCAGGCGCTCACCTGACAGCGCAGCCCTGTCGCGGGGCTGAGAGTGTGGGAAGGGGCCTGGCTGCCGGGACCACCCCCCGCCCCCGCGCGCCCACTTCCACAAGCGGCGAGGAGAGGGAAGCCGAGGCTCCTGGGGCCGCGGCTTCCAGTGGGTGCCCGGCTCCGCTCTGGGCCCGGCGCGAGGCAGCATCTCCTGCGGACGCCGCCAATTGGTACTTGATGGGACGCGCGCCCGGCGGGGAGGCCGGAAAGTCTAAAATTCCCACCCTGCCTTTCTCGTTCGCTTGTCCCAACGCACCTAACCCCCGGCCTGGGAAGAGCAGCTGCATTTTGGTCTCCAGGTTGGGACCAGACGCTGCCTTTTTTTTTAAGTGGTGACAGGGTGGGACCGTTCCGGTTTCGATGAGATGGAGCCCTATTGAGCTGCTCCTTACTAACTCCTTCCACGGGATGGCTGAACGGCAGCGTGGGGTGACCCCCAGCTCTGAGCTGCCGGCAGGAACTCAGGCTTGTTGTCTGAGCTCATCGGAGAGGCCCCAAGAAAAAGCCGTAAAACTTTACTGGGGCTCTTTTACAGGCGCACACAATCAGTTCATCAGGCGTATTGTTAATAAGCTAATGGGATAGCGTGAGAACGGACCTGGCTGCTGCTTCGCTTGTTTACTTTGTGGAACTACAGTAATTGTGATGCACTTTGGAAATAGTGCATTAAGCATTACACAAAGGTTTAATAACACAGCCTCCTCCTCGTTGTTGTCATCGCTAACTCCAAGCTTTCTAAGCACAAAAACTGTCCATTCTTCACTTAGGACTGCCCGAAGGGACAGCACCAACAATGTCGTCCAGTGAGGAGAATTTAAAAATAGGGTCATGCACAGAGGCCCTGTGAAGGCAGGCATTTGATTATTTTTTTTAAGATTTATTTATTTATTTGAAAGAGTTACGCAGAGAGGAGAGGCAGAGAGAGAAAGGTCTTCCATCCGATGGTTCACTCCCCAGATGGCCGCAACAGCCGGAGCTGTGCTGATCCGAAGCCAGGAGCTTCCTCGGGTCTCCACGCAGGTGGTGCAGGGGCTCAAGAACTTGGGCCATCTTCCACTGCTCTCCCAGGCCAGAGCAGAGAGCTGGATCCGAAGAGGAGCAGCCGGGGCTAGAATCGGCGCCCATATGGGATGCCGACACTTTAGGCCAGGGCGTTAATCTGCACCACAGCGCCGGCCCCCTGATTATTTTTTTCTAAACAGCGTCTCTGTTTCTCAAAATATCATTGACTCAAAAAATAAAAAAGAAAGTAAAAAGTGGATGGCCCTGGTAGGGTGGGAGCCACTGACTGATAATCTGGAGGAAATTTGGTAGCTTTTGGCTACCAAACAGATTTATAATAGTTGGTAGATCCTATTGTCTTTTTAAAATGAGTGTTCTCTCGAAACCTTCTTAGAAGCCCAGTGTATCAGCATATTTTCCAGTCCACTGGTAATGTGCATTGTGTCTGTCCAAGTATTACCTTTAAACCCCCAAACCAGTTCAGGCAGTTGGCTGTGCTGCAGACACAGGGCTTTGCCATTGGAGGGAATGGGGTGGCTCCATCGCAGTGCAGAAGTCAGGTGAGTGCTGGTAGCTAAAGAACTGTGCGCGTGGTGATGTTGCGTGTTGAGCATTCTCCTCTTGTCCCTTTCTGAGGAAGGGAAAATCTAGGGAACTGCCATGGCTCTCTGGTGGTGACATGCAAATTCTGGACATAGTGCCGGATTAAAGGCTGTACTGCACATTTTCTGCACCATCTGCTGGTTGGGGAGTAAATGCTGAGCAAGGGAAAAAGTGACCGGGCACACAGAGCCACTGTGGCCAGGAGGCCCAAAGTCATAGCTCTCAGTCCTCATTGTCTTCCTGCCTCCCAGATTGGCGGGGGCGCCGTAGCAAAGGGCATTTCACTTGGAGGGCCCTGAGTGGCTGGCAGGAGAAGGTGGCTCAGACACAGCCATTCCTAGCTTCTGGACAACAAGTTATGCTTCTGGGGGCGTTACAAAGGGGTTAGCCCTTGGGGCTGGTGCTGTGGCGTAGCAGGTAAAGCCACTGCCTGCAGTGCCAGCTTCCCACTTGGGCACCAGTTCTAGTCCCGACTGCTCTGCTTCCGATCCAGCTCTGTGCTATGGCCTGGGAAAGCAGTGGAGGGCCCGCGTGCTTGGGCCCCTACACCCATGTTGGAGACCTGGAAGAAGCTCTTGGCTCCCGAATAGGATGGGCCCAGCTCCAGCCATTGCAGCCGTCTGGAGAGTGAACCAGTGGATAGAAGACCTCTCTGCTTGCTTTTGCTTCTCTATATGTAACTCTGCCTTTCAAATAAATAAATAAACCTTTAAAAGGTGGGGGAGTCAGCCCTTTGACCCCATCCTACCTCTACCATGCCCTCCTTTTGCACTTACTCATTCTCCTACCACAGGCCTCTCAACCTCTGGGATCCCCTAAAATGGGCAGTTTTCGAGAATTACTGCTGCCTGGCCGCCTCTCAGATCAAGTAAATCCAATTTTGCAGGGGAGATAGCAGCTTGCAGTACTATCTTATATGCTAAGAACAGTCCTGAGCGATGTTTTACTTAATCTTACAACATTCCTCTGAAAAAAGTGCTAAAAGTGTCCTCCTTGTGCAGCGGAGGAAGCAGAGGCTCAGCTGGAGACAGGATTCGCAGTGACACCAGAGTGTAAGGCTTGTTTGGAATTGACAGTGACTAGAAAGGGAGTCGGCAGAGATGGAGGGAGCTTTTCTCAGCTGTATCCCTATAAGCTGCCCTGGGCTAGCCCATGCATCTCACCCTTCCAGATAACCTGTAAAGAGGGCACTGTCACTTCCCCTGCTGAGCTTCAGGGAGATGAGGACACTGACCGTGGTGCCCCACAGCCCGTGGGACCCCCTCCTTGAGGTGCCTGGGGAATGGTCCTCTTCGCTGCGCATCCATTACTTTGTGGTGACGCCTTCAAGCCTCACACACACTGCTCAGCAGTAAGCAGCCCGCACCCGCCCACGGGCACACGTTCTGGGGTAATCTGATCATTGAACAGACTGATCGACTTTCCCCTCAAACCATCGTGTTTTCTTTCTCTCTTTCTTGGAGAGGGAGGAGGAGAGGGAGAGGAAAAGGGAGCAAGCGTGCTCTGTCTCCAGATGCCTGCAGCAATGGGTCTGGGCTGGGGTGCGTGGGTGGCAGACACAATTACTTGAGCCATCGCTGCTGCCTCCCAGGATCTGCATTAGCAGGAAGCTGGAGTCAGGGGCTGGAGTTCGGAGTCAAACCTGGGCACTCCAGTGTGGCCTGTATGTGTCTGAACTGCTAGGCTGAATACACACCCTCAAATCACTTAAATATATTTTTAAAATTTTTTTTATTTGAAAGGCAAGGGTGGGGAGGAGAGAGGGAAAGAGAGAGAGAGAGAGAGAGAGAGCGAGAGAGAGAGAGAGAGCTCTGTGCATTAGCAGGAAGCTGGAGTCAGGAGTGGAGCTGGGACTTGAACCCAGCACACTGATATGGGATGTGAGTGTTCTAAGTTAACTGCTGTACCAAACACCTGCCTCTCTAATCTCCTTTGTGATTAAAGTCTTATAACCAAGGCACCTGGGTAGGGTAGGGGCTCAGAAGCAAAGGCTGGCAGCTTCTGGGCCAGGGGAGCACCTGAGCAGGCAGGTCTGTCACAGGCAGGAGGGTCCTGTGTGGTGGTGGGCATGGCCACACCTGGGCAACTTGTGCTACCAGCTGTTCCTTGGAATTCAGTGTAGAACTCAGACTCCTGAGGGTCCTGAGTTGAGCTGAGTGGAACAAGCTCTGCTTCCCCTACTTCAGCCTTGTCTTGGGTCCTGTGACCAACTCCTGCCATTACAGGTAGTTTGAGGAAGGAAATGGAGAAGTGAGCCCTCTCAGTGGGGGAGAGGGGATGACTAATGGATACAGTCTGGGAGCCAGGGCCTGGCGGCGCCTTGGAGGGCAGGTGGGAGGCTGGCATCTATGAGGGTCTGATCTGTTCTGGATCTGGGCATGCATCTGGGGTGGTTTGTTGTGAGGTGGAGCCAGGGGCTCACAGTGGGGGCCTGAGGCTCACGGTGGGTGTCGGAGCTCAGGGAGGCGCTGGGTCGGTCAAGGTTTAGTATCAAGAGGCCCCAGAGGCAGTGGAAGAAGCGGAGAAAGTGGACAGAGCTGGGTTTGTATTCTGGCGTTGCCCTAGTGTGAGTCAGAACAGGTTCTGACTTCTCTGAAGCTACTGCTTCACGGGGGGAAAGAAGCCGTCTTACTTAGCCCACAGGCCGCAGTAGGTCAGAGAAGACCGTCCTGACTCTTCACAGGCGCTCCTCCATCTCCGTACAGCCCTGAAGCCAGGCTTTTGCTGACACATGACCGCTGTACTACAGGTCAGGTCCAGGGACTGGTACCAGCCCACAGCACTGTCTGAGTGACTTTTACCACCACGGTGCCACTTTCATGTGTCCAATGGCCCTGGGGGCGGCTGTGGTGAGTCACCAGTCCTAACAGGAGCCCCAGCAACAAAGAGCAGGGGTCACTGCAGGGCCAACCGCCACCCCTGGTGTTCAGGCGAGTTGACCACGGTATGGGGAAGTACAGTGGCTGCCCGAGGACCCCTGGCCAGAAGCACAGAGCCAAGACAAGATCCTGTGTGTCTGATCCATCCTGTACTTGTGGCATGTGCCACACCTCAACCTGAAATGCATCATGGGCCTCATCCTTGCTGACAGGGAAATAGGAAGCAACTGAAAATAGAATCCAGGGACTGATTTGCCACCTGTACCGGGAAAGGGGAAGTGAGTGATTATAGGAACAAGTGGCTTTTGCTGTGGTCTGTGGCAGTACAGTTCATCAGGAAATACTTAGCAGATACCCGTCATGGGTCAGACTCCAGTCTAGCAGGTGAGCAGACAGAGGCTTGTAGCTCTCTGGGTGTCTGTAAAGAAGGAAGATGTTTAGCAAAGAAGGTAGGCCTT